GAGGACGGCGTAGGAACTGTGCGAGCTGACTGGCCGCATAGGCTAGATCAGGACGACAAGTGACAGCGGCGAAAAGTAGACAGCCTAACTGCTGTTGATAGATCTGTAAACCGGTTGAAGTTAACAGTGCGGTGTTCGGTTTGTGGTCAGTCGGTAATGAGCGGTACGGTGTAGAGACTGCAGTAGGTGTGAGGTTGAAGCGGGCAGCGAGTGTTGCTGCATACTTCGAAGCGGTAAGATGAATAGTTGTCGGTGAACAGGTAATGTTCAGTCCGAGAAACTGTGAGACTGTTTCGGAGATGGTAAGTTATAGATTTTCCTGTAATTTCAGTATGAAGGTCTCGGCAAGGGAATCGGTAGTACTGACGTATAGGATGTCATCGCATCAGTTGATAACGCGTTGAGCCGGGAAAATGACTTGGAAAAGGATCGTGCGTAAGGTTGGCAACTGGACAAGTGGTGCAAACCGTCGAACGAGACTGCGGCTTCATCTCCGTGCCATGAGGTAAAAGTAAACTATTTTTATCAAGAACTGCTGCTCGGATTGAATTATTAAGAATCCCTTGTGATGGATGTCCTAGTCGCTGATGCCATATATCTTCCGTGGCTTTGTGTTCTGATGATCGCAGGTAAAAATCGGAGTTAGTATAAAAGGAAGAAAGAATGAAAACAGAAAGGGCTGGTGACTTGTCAATTTCTCCTTCGACGAAACGGTGAAGAGGTAACGTGACTTGTGATATTGCTGCTGTAGGTGCGAGTATAACCCCTGATACTGCTTCTGTTGATGTCGTGGCAGGTGTTTCGGCGACAGCTACGGTTGGACTCGGCTGCTCAGCTACGGCTTCCTGTTCGGCTTCTTCAACAACGTCAGGTTTATCAGCAGCAATACCACTTATTTCTCCCCAAAGTGGTGCTGGAGTTCCTTGGAAGGCTGCACGGGTATTATAAAACGTTCGCCACGCGGTGGCGCTTTCATCGGCGGTATTGAACTCCCAGGTATCCAAATCGGTAAGTACGGCGGCTGCTGTTCGAGAAGCTGTTGGTACTGAAGTTGCGCGAAAATCAATGTCCACATATTGATAATCTGTTTCTTCTGGGTGATCCCAGGGACCAAGTGCAAGCACGTGTTCAGAATCTCCAGAAGTTCCCTGTGCTGCGAACTGAAGAACTGACACGCCATGTTGAGTGGCGGCACGACCAAGGTAGGTATTAGTTGTATTGTGCCAGAGCTCTTGATCCATCGTCTCACAATTTCCTTGTGTACGGATTTTGTGTGCCAGAAGTTGAGCCGTGGAAAGAAGGTTGAAGCCAAGTCCGGCGACGATAAGAACATTCGTAACATGAAGTGAGTATCCCGTGTCGATAGATTCGAGCATGACACTGCCAACTGATCGTGCCATTATCGTTTGTCTGTTTGCGACTGTGACAGGTATCGGACGACGAAGTGGACGCTGATTAGTGATAAAGCTTGTTTCGGCAGAACACATATGCCATCCGCAGCAGCTGTCGATATACCATGTATTTGGTCCTGAAATTATGCGAGCAAGGTTAGCGTAAACTTGAGGTAAATGAATGCCTTCAGCACTTGTTGTTTCTTCAAGTCGTGTTTCGAAATCTGTTTCTGAAATATCAACTGTGGTGACGCAGCCAAAAACCCCTTTTCCTGATGTGGCAGATGCGAAGACCGGCGGACGATGCTGCGACGTAGATGGATTTGGTGGTGGTTTCGGTATCTGCTGCTGCTGAGACGTTAACTACTGCTGTGGCAGTTGTGTCTTTGGTAACTGCTGCGATCGTTGATACAGCTGCGAAGTATTGCGACGATTTTGTTGACGGCTGCGACAGTTTTGGTAAGTATGTCCTGGTTTCTTACAGAAATGGCAGAACGGGTACTTTGGTGGATGTCGATGTTGTGTTTCTGGATTGGAGTAAATACTGAAATGAACTCCCCTTTTCTGGTTGCGTTGTGACTGCAGGTCAAGATCTTGCTGCTCTGCTTGAAGATAAGAAGAAATTTCAGCTTCGGAGAGGTTGGGATTCATGCGCAGGAAGGCGCGCGTCTGTCACCATTCGGGTCCAAGGCCAGCCAGAAGGACTGTGAGATACATCTCACGAGGGAAGTATCCTCCGCTTTTCTCCAGTTGGTCACGTAATGTACGGACGCGATTAACGTAGTCCATGATGTTTTCATTTGTCATCATCTGCACACTTGTCAGCTGCGAAAGTATTTTACTCACTGTTATCGTATCTTTTGCCATGTATACCCCTTTCAGATGGTTCCATGCAGTTTCAGCTGGTGTAAAACTTGAGTGAAATGATCGAACGCCGAGCTGCTCCTTCGGTGACAAGTTCCGTATAAGAACTGTATACGCCCCGAGAGAGGCGTGCAAGAAACTCTGCTGCTCCAGTTGTGTTCCCACGACAGGATAGGTGAATTCTCCGGTGAAGAACGGCCAAAGCCCAGCGGACTGCGCCAGAAGCTCAAACTCAAAGCTCCAGGAGTAGAAGTCGACTCCGTTAAAAGGTATGGTCGTCTTGATTTGAGTATTGTTAAGTAAATTTGGAGGCTGAAAAACAACGCCTGGCTGTTGCTGTTGTTGATGTTGCTGTTGCTGTTGTTGTTGTTGTTGGTGTTGCTGTCCTTGCTGTGGTTGCTGAGACTGCTGTTGTTGTTGCTGAGCAGGGGAACGACCAAAGATATAAAAAGGATGCTGAAACTGCTGCGACTGCGGCTGCTGTACAAAAGGTGAGAAAGCAAACGAACCAGTACTTGGAGCTGTAGCTCCACGCATGTAACTTGAGTCGTCAAGGCTCATTCCACTGAACGCAGATGAAATCGATTGCGTTGAAACTGGTGGCTGTACTGACGCTTGTTGCTGTGTTGTCGTCTGTGATTGTTGCTGTTGCGTTGCAGGTGCAGTCGATGGAGCACCTGGAGTATTCACAGAAGGCGGATTCTGCTGTTGCATACCGATATTAGCGTAGGCTGGTGGAAAGTGCCCAGAGGCTAAGAGACCAGCGGCCGTAGTGGAGGTATGTGCTCCAGTAGTCCCAGTAACTGATCCGGCAGATGGTGTTGGTGATGAACCAGTCATGATTGACGTTAGTCTTAATTCCAGATAGCTCTCATACCATGAAATAAATCGTCTGATGTTGTAAGAGACTAAGTATAAAACTATAAATGCGAACACTTGGCAAATCCTCAAGTGTTGGTCCAGGATCTTTGCTGGAATGGTAGACTAGTAAGATAGCGGAAGTCTTGTAAAATGTAAAGGTCAATGTTGAATAACCTGAGTACGTGAACTTGTGAGTAATCAAAGTTTTTTTTTAATACTGAAAAAGACCTAACAGAGATTTATAGTTCTACGAAAAGTACCTATTCACTGATGTACCTGTTCGTCACTATCGCGCTATGCGCCCTAGATGAGAATGGAGGGGTGCGACTGTTCGCGTGACTGAAACGACTGTCCTATAACGAGCGCTATTTGCTAACGTCATCCTACGTCATTCTACAGTATGATTCGACACTAACTATGCATAATCGATTTACAGAAATGCTAAGTATCAATTATATCACAACATCGTCAAGGTGTGCGGAAAGCGGGTGGCCATCCTGCCGCTGGCCAGTGAGGTGGCGACGGAGGTCGGCGAGCCACGCCTCGAACTCCAGAGGCTGGCCTTCAGCGTCGAAGCGAAGCTCCGCCGCCATCAGGAGCAGTGCAGGACTGGACAATGCGGTACAAGGCAGTGCAGGGCAGTGAGGTGCACTGCTTTGCAGGGCGATGCAGCGCGGTGCAGGGCGGTGCAGTGCGGTGCAGGTGAGGGGGGAACCGTACCAGGGAGGGTGCAGGGCCGGAGCAGGCACGACGAGCGGGCCGCACACAGTTCGGGGTAGGACGGGCGCGGGGGCCAGGAGTAGCAGGCACCAGACCGGCGGGACGAGCGCAAGGCCGACGGGGCGGGCGCAGGGCCGGCTTGGACGGGCGCGGGGCCGGCTGGGACGGGCGCGGGCCGGCTGGGACGAGCGCGGGCCGGCTGGGACGGGCGCGGGTCGGCTGGGACGGGCGCGGGGCCGGCTGGGACGGGCGCGGGCCGGCCGGGACGGGCGCAGGGGCTGAGCGGACAGGGCGCGGGGGTCGGCTGGGACGGGCGCGGGGCCGGCTGGGACGGGTGCGGGCCGATTGGGACAGGCGCAAGGGCCGAGCGGGCAGGGCGCGGAGGTCGCGAGGGCGGCCGTGGGGCCGGCTGGGACGGGCGTAGGGGCCGACTAGGACAAGGGCAGGGGCCACTAGGGTAGCGCGGGGGCCGCTAGGGCGGGCACTGGGGCAGGCACGAGGGGCCGCTAGGGCAAGCGCGGGGGCCGCTAGGGCGGGCGCTAGGGCGGGCACGAGGGGCCGCTAGGGCGAGCGCGGGGACGGGCACGAGGGGCCGCTAGGGCGAGCACGGGGACGGGCACGAGGGGCCGCTAGGGCGGGCGCTAGGACGGGCACGAGGGGCCGCTAGGGCGGGGCGTTAGGGCGGGCACGGGGCCGGCTAGGACGGGCGCTAGGGCGGGCACGGGCGAAGGGGCCGCTAGGGCGATCTCGGGGACGGGCATGGGGCCGGCTAGGACGGGCACTAGGGCCGAGGGGAGGTGGCGCGCAGGGCGCGACTAGGACGGGCGCGGCTAGGGCGGGCGCGACTAGGGCGGGGGCGACTAGGAAGGGTAGGTCCTAGAGCGGAAGTGTGGGTGGGCGGGACCTACCTACTGCTGATACCAACTCAAAACAGAAAGAATGATAGAGTAGAGAGAGAGTACAAGTGAATATACCTAAGTGTTGTACCCTCTAAGAGGTGACCCTATACAGTCTATGCAAACATAAGAGCTACACATGTTTGACAGTTTTATCCGGAGGAATAAGGTAATTTAACAGGTTGACTGGTCCTGAGCTAAAATCGCGCAGGAATCCAGAGAAGAATTGTACGCAGTGAAGTCTGATCCGACCTAAGAATCAGAAACCACGAAACTGTAGGCTTGATTAGTCAGACTAAAAAAAACAATTGGCTGAATAAACATGCCACGCCCAAAACCCGACCCTGAAAAGCATGGGTTCTCACATGGGCGACCCTGAGCAATCAGCCTCCCTAAAACCAGTCTGAGGGCCTGATTTCCATCCACGATGAGGTCTGAACACTTCTATCTGAAATCTGATGACAAGGGTCCTGTATTCTGGGGAACACTACGGCCATGCATGTACGTAGAATCCTTTAGTCCGCAGCCAGTTGAACATTTGTGCCGCTTCGTCTCGCGTTGCACTGAAGCGGGTCGCGTTCCATTTGAAGTCATACATGGACTCGTGGTGGTAGTGAATTTCCACGAATAACTCGTCCACAATCTGTTCCATGCCAGGTATGTCCAACCAAGCTGCAAAAACAAAGAACGTGCAGTGCGGAATGAAGCTTCACACAACGATGCACAGAAGCCAGAATGCATAGGCAACACTCATGAGGCACGCAGCATACAACTTGAAGGGGCTTGGGTAACTGGCAAGGCTCATCAGGCAGCCTCCCCTTACCATTCAGTACAGGCCACTCGACCCCTTCGATGTCCATCTTGACGACCACCGTGTCTTGTGGGGTGAGGCGCAGCTCCTCCAGCATCCACCGCGTGGCGTTGATCACATTCTAAAATGGGTAGGGCAAGGCCAAGGGGGGGGCGGACATAGGGCAGACAGCACTAAAGATTGATCCACACCACCAGCAAGCGGTTGCATGCTTAGGTGTGCAGCTCTGAGTGCACAAGGGTATGCGGGAGCACACCAATGCTCAGCTGTTGAATGCAAATGCCGCGGCTGCAGCAGCACCACCAATACCACCACCATAGCAGCAGCAGCAGCAGCGGCGGCAGCAGCACAGTACCTTGTGTGGGCTGTCTTCCATCCCAACCAAGGTGTTGTACGAGTGAATGCGCTGCAGCATCCACCCAGGAATAGGTCCTGGCCCTTGCCCCCGGGGCCTTAGGCGCGAGCCCGAGGATATGGGGCCGAGCACCTGGTGCGGCACAGGGCAGAGATAAGGCAAAGATAGGGCATAAAGTAAACCGCGCACACACAGAACAAACTGGGGAGAACTTTAGGCGGCTGAGCAAGCATTGTGCGCAGGTATGTGCGCAGAAAAGAGGAGGCAGTGGGCGAAGTGGAACGAGTGAACCCTAAACCCTTCAGCCACCAAAACCCGCACAAGCACCCAAACAGCCCCGTGCACAGCACAGCACACTCCACTCCTTCAGCCAGTGCCCCCACCTGGTCGTTGGGCTGGGGCACGACGAACAGGTCGGGCTGAATCTCGAAAGCGTGAACCTCTGTGAACTCCAGGGGATACGTGCTGAGGAACCACGTCACGCTCGTGCGGAACGCGTTGGCGCCGAAGTCAATCAGCACACGCCGCGCACTGCTCAGAACAGGCGAAAGTGGGGTGGGGTGCGGTGGGTTGGGGTTGGGGTGGGTTGGGGTGAGAGGCGACGATAACATGGGAAGAACAGGCGAAAGAGGCGGGGGAGAGAAGGAACGAGGGGAGGGAGGACAGACAGGAGAAGCACCACACACTCAAATACCTCCCCCCCCTTCTCTCCCCCCACTGACACACATGCGCACACACCTGCACGCACACACCAGCACCCACACACCAGCACGCACACACCAGCACGCACACACATACACGCACAAACAAGCGCGAGCGCGCGCATGCACGCACGCACGCACCTGGTGTGCATGCGGTGGTCGAGCGCCGCTCTGAGGTACGGCAGCAACTGCGTCTTGTCCTCCCCGTAGTCCACATAGCCCAGCGTGAAGCCGCGCCGGAAGTTGAGATCCGGCTCCACCGCCTCGATGGGCAGGCCCTGCACGCGGCAGGGGGAGAGGGGGGGCATCCACTGCACGGGGGGAAAAGAGTGCGGAAGGGGGGGGGGGGAAGAACCCATCGGGGAGGGGAGTACAATGAGAGGTGGTCGTGAGGAACGGTAACATCCCTCCAACATACCACGGATCTATCGCGCACAGAAATGCATAGCTCTGAGTCAGAGTGGCGCAGCAGAGCGAGCAAAAGCGCAGCCGCAGCAGCAGCAGCAGCAGCAGCACATGGGCGGGTGGAGTTGGTGAAGGCCTCACCGGGCTCCATTTCCTCGTGTTGGGAATCCCGCGCTCCGTCACGGGCGCGAGGATCCAATTCCTGCACGCGCTCCCCTCCTCCCCGCCCTCCCCCTCCGCCGCCTGCACGCGCTGCTGCTGCCGATCACCCCACGCCATCTGCACCCGCGACACCTGCCCCGCGTACACCCGGTTCGGGTCGCCCGAGCCTGCCAAGGGGATGTTTTGGGTGACGCACGGCGGCGTGGAGGGGGAGAGCATGTGCACGACGAGGAGGAGGAAGGTGGTGAAGGCGGCGGTGGTGGCCGCCACGGCCCATGTGAACAGGAACGACGGGCTCCTGCTGCCGCCGCTGCTGCCGCCGCCGGGCAGAGAGCGAAACATGGAGGATGGATTGCGATTCGGGTTGTGGGGTTATGGTTGCGGGTGGCGATGGGAATGGATATTCGATCGTCGCCGCTTCCTCGTCCGCGGGAGCCAGAAGCTCCTGCTGCTGCTCCTCCTGCTGCTGCTGTTGTATTAGCGGTGGTGGTCCAACGAACCTAGCGGCGCGAAGGAAATAACGGAGCTTGGGAGAATGGTGTAGGTTGGTCAGCTTTCGCTCGAGAATGGTCGGAGCTGCTTTCGATCCCACCTGGTTGTTCCTCCGCTTTCGCGGTTGCACGCCGGAATCTCAAAACCTGGTCGCAAAGGCATAGAAGACTGATGGGGCCGATGTGGCACCGTGAGTGTTATGCTGCGGACGAAACAAACAAGACGAACGGCTCTCCAGGGAGTGAGTTCATCGAATGAGGAAGGGGAGAGATTTTAGCACAAACAAAAAATGCCAGAAACCAGAAACGAGCAACAGCGAGGTTGGCTGAGAACCTCGTTACGACGAGAGCGTACCGAGATCGGTTTTATGCAATAAATTACGGTAAATACAATTTTCCTGGTCTACAAAGCGGTTCGACGTGGTTATCGGCGAAATCAGGCGATTGATCTTGCGAATTGGTGGACAGCACTTGGGTGGTTCGGTGGCGAAAGCCACGGAACTCGTCCCGGCGAGGTTCGGTGCCGAAGTTATGGGCCGAGTCGCCCCTCCAAGAGATCGGTTTTGTACGTTAGGGTACGATAATGTTTCTTGGTCTGCAAAGCATTAGCGAGGTTCAGGCAATTGATACAGTATTGTGAACTGCATAGCGTGTACCACGGACGGTGTTGTGGGGTCTGGGTTAGGTACGGGAAGCGTGCCGGGGAGGTTCGGGGGCGGGTGAGTTTTGGGATTGTGGGGGGAACTCGCGCGTCATGGCCGAAACGCGTTTTCTCTCACAAGGCGAAAATTGCTCCATCAGCGTCCTACGCCAAGTGCGCGTGCGATATTTTCCGCCTATTTTTTTTTTGTCATAAACCGGACCTATCCCCAAACCGAGTAATCTAGGGCCTATGGAGCAACGTCAACAGACCAGGGCCTATTTTTGACGAGTAATTACCCGTATTCTGGTACTTTAACGGGTTTCTTTAGACCGGAACTTTCTTAATGACGGATCCGGTTCTCGCTGAATCCGGGGGTAACGGGTCGATTCTGGCTCGAAAACAGGCTGTAAGCTTAGGTTTCGAGGGATTTTTGCCGAAAATCGGACTTTGACGGGTGGCTTCGGTAGGGAACCCGGATCTGACGAGTGGCTAAAAAATCAATCTGAAGCCCTGTAACAGACCCCAAACCAAAATCAGCACCACACCCACAAACCTTACACCCAAAGTCTTGTTATAGTAAAATTACGTAGGATCAACCTCACTTACAGCCCAAAAATCCTCTAACCTCAAGTCCTATTTTTTTTAGCCCCAACCAAAGTTTACATGGTAACCCGTTTTTTACATTCTACACTAGAGTACAAAATCCGTCTCATGCTAGCTAATCTTATTCGAATGCCGCTAAAAAAATGCTCCCCATAACCTATTGATTTCTTTTAAAGGGCTTGGAGCTGTTTATGTTTCGTTGCTAGCTACGTACTCATTAAATGCAAGGGTACTAACAACGATGCTCTGGCATGATCAATGTTTTTGCCTCCAGACAGGGAGAGATCTAAGAACTATTTTCTAATAGCCGTCGTCCCTTTTAGGGAAATTCTCGTCACCTACCCGTTTGGTCAACTAAGGGTATATTCAAGGCTCGTGTCAATCTTCTGGTCATATCATCCAAGCCCCGACTTCGGGCCTTCCAGCTATAACTTCGGATTCACGAACAAGTAGATGCTACAGTACTTAACGATGAAAGTGCAACCAAGTTAAAATTTCGTCGAGAGACGCAGCAAATCCTCCCTACATAGTTGTGCTTCGTGGACTAAAAGATGTTGTTTCGTTCGTGCGTCTCTTGTCGTAGGTGATACGTACTTCGTGGACCCGAAGCCTTGGGTCTTCCAGATTCGTGTCTCCCGCGTCTAACCCGAAGTTTGACACGGTCTCCGAATTCACCCTGAAAGTCTATCAAATTTTGACGGCCTCGATCGATTGCAATCGTTTCGACATGTTTCGATCGTTCGATGGTCGTTAGTGATTGACATCCAAGATCTCCCAACCGGGGTGCTACAAGGGCGTGAAGTTTCTCCCACCGCCCTATTCGCCAGCTTCCCCCCTCTCCTCCGTTTCGATCTCCCTCCCCCCTCCATTTTCGATCCCCCCTTCTTCTCCGTTTCGCTTCCCCCCTTCCATCCGTTTCGATCTCCCTCCTTCCCCTCCATTTTGCTTTCCCCCTCCCCTCAGTTTTGATTCCCTCCCCATTTCCCCCTCGGTTTCCATTCCCCCTCCCCTCCTTTTCGATTTCCTCCCCTTCATGACGCGTTCCTACGCGACACAATATCGCGATGCTTCGTGTCACAATTTTATTTACGGGCAAATCAGATGGACAAAATCCAGAATGACACTGTATGCTGACTACTTGTGACGTAATAATAGCCATACGAGTTGCAGGACAGTGTGATTTTTTTGAGTTAGTAATTTCGCATTGACAGGGAAATCAGAAATCAAAAATTACGCCAACGAGAAATCACAAGGCCACCGACTACTTCCCGTCCCCCTTTTAGTAACGAGAAAATTACGATGCGGTAATTTAATGTTTAGGAATGGTTTTTCCGGTCCCCCTTTTAGTAACTTCGCAAAAGTAGGGCATAAGCAGGGTTGAAGGTTGGGGGGGGGGGGGGGGGGGGGAGGGGGTGTGGGAGGAATTTTATGGCCTCAAGGGACTTAGCCAGATTTTTTGGGTTGCGGGAGGTGTGGGAGGAATGTTACTGGCTGTGGGGACTTCGTCAATTTTCTTGGGTTGCGAGGAGTGTGGGGGAGAAATGCCTCTGGGTTGGAGGACTACGCTTTTTTTTTTTTTTTTTTTTTTTGCGACCTGCTGGGGTGGGGGGTTGGGGGAAGTGGATCATGCGCCAACTAGGGGGGAAACTCGGTACAATAATCTCCCAATTGTTTGTTTCGGTTGAATTGTGTGCTTCAACGGAAATTGATGTGGCCTCAAAATGGTCGACCCTTTTTGCCTCGTAATGTATGGTTTCACAATCCGAGCAAAAACGGTCGACTCGTTGTACTGTTCCTCCTCGAGAGTAGATGTTCGGAAGTGCTTACGTTTTTTGCACCGGAGTCCTGGGCAGCCCTTGTAGTGGCCAAAATGAGGATAAGGACAAATGCGAGATATGCCTAAGATTAACGGAAACATTTCGACTTGCTTGCATCATTTGCGGACGATATTTTCGCAGGAGATCCCGTGGGATCTCACGAAACTTCGCGAGATGAGGCTTGCACGCCGACAGATAACGAGCAGGCCTCCCACTAACAAGACAATTACCCTAAATGTAGATAAATCAAGGGTATTTTTTACATTAAATATGTTTGTTAACAGAGATTTTTCTCCGTCCAACTTTCCGAAACAATCTTGGGCGACACTTTATCCTAAGGGACATTTTTCTTTGGATCCTTACGGGCTATATCTTCAGTAAGAGTGAAAGCCTTTAGATACATTGCTAGCCGAATTCGTGACATGCTATTTGGGGAGGATTCCTAATCGTAACCGTACTGTAACGGCATGTTTGAAAGCTGTTGCAAGGAATTACGATTCCTTACTGCGCTAAATTACAGTGCGTACACCCGAAGACCTCGGCCTTGCAGGTTCGGCCTCGATTGTCGGCCCAAACCTCCCTGAGTCGCGTTCCGACACCCTCGCCACCCTTCCAAGCCACATCACATCCCGAGGTTCTCGCCTTGGCACGTACGAGCCCTACTTTAGCTAGTTCGCTTGTCACTTGCGATGGATTATTACTCCTAGGTTATATTTCCATTACTCCTAGGGCATTATTCTATTCCCACTCATAACACTTGGTATTCAGAGCCACTTTCCTTGCGCAGTAGCTTCCGCTTGCCCGAGAATTTTCTTGGGGGGGGGGGAGGGGGGGGGGGGGAGGAGGAATGGCTGGTGGGCCGCGGGGCTGCACAACGGTAGGCTCGGAGGTAATTTGTTTGCTCATCCCACTAAGGCGTGTGCGCTACCTTCGTCACCAGACCCTGCCTTTGGACGGCCAGGATTTGGCCAGGTCCTCCCTCCCCCCAAGGAACGGACAACTGTGGCTATCACGACATTTATTCACTATGTGAGTTGGTGAAAAGTGCATTTTACTTCGGTGGTTTTTGTGTGACAAACATGCGTCGTCGGCAGCACCTGACAAGATTCTAAAGCGAGTTCGTCAGGCGGCTGCGACAATAGCTGAAGAAAAAACAGGAAAGCGAGCCTTCGTGACGCGCGGCAACCTCAAGGAAATGCCAGGGAATTGTGGCCGCCAGGAGTACGCGGGATAAAGCGCAAAGGGCGTAGGTGACGTCCTGTTCGTTGCTCCGGTATTTCCGGCAAGATATCTATGGGAAGAAAACGGCGTACGTGCCAACTCCCGAAAAATCGGATCTTGAAACCCTCGACTAAATGACTAGATTTCAACGGCTATGGAGATCGCCACCGACAAAATCATAATCAATTGGCAGCCGAACTTCACGAAGGGCCGCCAATTCTGTTCTCCCACGCCGAGCAGAGTTTTCACCTAACCGGAGGGGAAACTCATGTTCGAGGAAATAACCATTGCCCCTGAAGGAAACAGGGAGTACGGGCGCAAGAGCAGAGTTCCTACAATTTATGGAGCAGCATCAACGCGTCCCCCTGAGTCATTGAGTGGAAGCGGTTTTCGAAACTTAGCAGAAGATGGACGGCGGCGGCTGAAGACCCAGTGGAAGTGACTTTGCCGTGATTCAGAAGCGGAATCGGCCACCTACTGATGGCGTTCTTTGCCAAAAATCCGAAGTCCCCCACCTGGTTGCGACAACTACAACGTCAGAGGCTCCAGGCTGGAAAGGGGGGGAATAAGCCATATTCCTCCAGTGCTGGCGAAGGGTGCAACAGTGGAGTGCTAAAAAAAAGAAAAAAAAAGAGGGGTAATTTGTGGTGTCAGGTGGCATTTGCACGGCTGCGCAGCGGTTGGTTGGGAGTACATATTTTAGCTCCATAAACTAAAGGCGTGCACACTAGCTTTTGCTCTGTCCTGCCCCAGATTACGGTTTTACTTATCGAGAGAAACGGGAAGTTGGGTAAATGACGACCAGCCAAAAATGTCGGGGAAGCCGTAAAGAAATATTCGAATTCGCCAATGTTGCAGCTGGAGCTCGACACTGTATCCGAAGTTTTCAGAGTGCGGCTAAGCGGAGGGAGTTGTCCCAGATTAACACGGGCTACTATGACACGCGATTATGCCTAGGACTTGTTT